ACTCTGGGTCTGTCCCCATGTAAGATCCTGCCTGGGGAAGTTGTTCAGTGTTGTTGCTCCCCCGCCTTCCCTGACCCCCCTCTTTCTGAGCATTTTTAGCACTGGTGGTTTCCTCCAGCTGTCATCTGGTTTCTCCTGGTGCCAACGATTTTGGCTTTGCCCCAGCAACAGTCAATAGGGAAGGTATTCAATTGGTTCAGAAACATCCTCTCAGCCAATAAAATGTTAATACATTGAAATTCACTTTCTTCTCCCTTCCTCCCCGACAAGCCCTGACCAATGAGATGCTAGTTTTGTCACCTACTGCCAATCTGGTATTTTAGAAAACAAAATACTGTAATACTGTATGAAGATTACAGAAATGGGACTAGAGATGGAATAGAAGTGTAAACGCCTATTCCACAGCACCCTCCAGGAACCCTGGCTATCCCACCTCCATTACAAAAATAGTGGCTGGACAAATGCCCAGATGTCCTCTGTTCAAACCACAGAAGCAGAGAATCTCAGGGGCAGAAGGGGCTTTAGGAAATTGGCCCAACCTATTGCTTCAACTTCCTCCCCCACCTCAAACACATACTCATGCACAACACTTGCCATCTCATAAAATGGTTGTCCAAACTCTTCTTGAACTTCTCTAGGGACAGGGCACTCACTCCCTTGTCATTCAAGGCCTTTTCTTTTTCCATTTCCTCTTTTCACCTCCAAGACCAGATATTTGAATTGTTTCTGTGCCTCCTTACTTCCTATTATTACTGTTTCTGTTCCTCCTTATATATCTACACCCCAGCTCAGGCCCATGAAGGCAATAAATAGGCAGATGGGAAACAGAGCTCATTGTGGCTCCTACAGGGAGATATGTGCCCCACCACAACCCCATCCCTAGCAAGAACTTGTTGGACTCCTATTAGGTAAAGCTTACCTACAACCTGGGTCTTGGAGGGGTGGTAAGGCAGAGACCATTCCAGAAAGGGGTCAGGCCTTGCCTGGGATTAAAGGCTGAGATGCCCATCACTTCTCTTTGATGAGCTAGCTCTCTCTGCCCCTCTTTCACTTTAGCTCCCGTTCACTTACCCAATCACAGAGGTGGCCCCTAAGCTCAGTCTCATTCTCAGAAAAACTTATTTATGCCAGTGAGAACCTTACTTGGTGAGCAAAGGGCTTTCTCTTAAAATAACAGGCAGAAAAGTGATTTAAAAGTGAATCTACACCTGTAGTCCCAGCTCCTCAGGAGGCTGAGGTGGGAGGGTTACTTGAGCCCAGGACTTCAAGGCTGTAGTGAATTATGATGGTGACACTGCACTCCAACCTGGGCTACAGAGCAAGACTGTCTCTAAAGAAAAGTCCAGGTATTGTAGTGACTCATGCTGGTCATCCTAACACTTTGGGAGATCGAGGTGGGAAGATCCCTTGAGGCCAGGAGTTCAAGACCAGCCTGGGCAACATGATAAGACCTTGTCTCAACCGAAAAAAAAAAAAAAAGGAAATTAGCTGGGTGTGATAGCTCATGCCTGTAGTCCTAGGTTCTCAGGAGGTTGAGGTGGGAGGGTTGCTTGAGCCTGAGAGTTCAAGGCTGCAGTGAGCGAAGATCACACCACTGTACTCCCGCCTGGTCAACAAAGGGAGACCTTGTTTCAAAAAACAAGTGTATCTCCGTGAACATTAAAGGAAGGTGAGAAGGGCTATCATGATGACCTGTTCTCCAGGGCCCAGCCCAAGGTAGCCCTCCATAACCCTCATAGTCTATTCAGTTCAGGGCTCATTAGGCTCTTATCTTCTAGTCCCTTTTACTGTTGCATTGCTTCTCTTTGGGGGGAAGGTGGAGTGGGAGCAGTATACAACCTCCCCTGCCCAGAATGCAGTGTGAACCCCTTTAGAACAGTCATATATAGGCCAGGCGCGGTGGCTCACGCCTGTAATCCCAGCACTTTGGGAGGCCAAGACGGGCGGATCACGAGGTCAGGAGATCGAGACCATCCTGGCTAACATGGTGAAACCCCGTCTCTACTAAAAATACAAAAAAAAATTAGCCAGGTATGGTGGTGGGCACCTGTAGTCCCAGCTACACGGGAGGCTAAGGCAGGAGAATGGTGTGAACCCGGGGGGCGGAGCTTGCAGTGAGCTGAGATCGTGCCACTGCACTCCAGCCTGGGTGAGAGAGCGAGACTCCGTCTCAAAAAAAAAAAAAAAAAAAGAACAGTCATATCTATTGTTTGCATTTGTACCTTACATCTACTTATCACAGAACTCTGCTCATTGTACCATCAACTCATAGTATCAAGGTCCATAAACATACTATCTGTGGTCTCATTTTGCTCACTAGATGAAACAAGTAAAGATCACTCTTGTCATGTCTCCATCTTTTTCAGCCTGGTTGGTAGGAGGACCACAGGAGGGCCAAGGGGCCAAGCCTAGCACTGGGAACCATGTTTACTGGAGAGAAGAGAGTGTGGGCAGTCTTTCCTCATTGCTGCAGAGGAAGCAGGCGCTGTGCTGGCTGGTGTAGAGTACAGGGTGCTGTGTAAGGCACTGCCTGGTACAGAACTTGATTAGCAAAGCCCAGCTCCAGTGAGCATAGCACATATAACCACTACAACCTCCATGGCCTGCCTCAACCCCATAGTCCCAGCTTCACATTCTAAGCAGTGTTTGGCATCCCAGCTAGGGGCTGCTATGGCAGAGTGAAGTGCCTTTGGTTCCCCCATTCTTCCTTCTTCCACCTCCACCTCCACCTCAGGGTCTTCTTTACCTATAATTTCTCCCTCAACGCCACATCAAGTACCTTTCCCAATCCCTAGCAGTCCTGCTTCTGCCTCTCAAAACTCCAAATTCTTGCAGGGTCTACCTACCACCCTTGCCCATCCCTGTTCCATCCATGACACACACAGGACTGCCCAAGTTTTTTGTTTTTTGTTTTTTGTTTTTTGTTTTTTTTTTTTGAGATGGAGTCTCACTCTACCACCCAGGCTGGAGTGCAGTGATGCAATTTCAGCTCACTGCAACCTCCACCTCCCAGGTTCAAGCAATCCTCCTGCCTCAGCCTCACAAGTAGCTGGGGCTACAGGCACTTGCCACCACACCTGGCTAATTTTTTGTAGTTTATTTAGTAGAGATGGGGTTTCACCATGTTGGCCTGGCTGGTCTTTAACCCCTGACCTCAGGTGATCCACTCACCTCAGCCTCCCAAAGTGCTGAGATTACAGGTGTGAGCCACCATGCCTGGCCCCCTTTTGTTTGTTTTATTGAGTTGGTGTTTTGGTCTCTCACCCAGGCTGGAGTATAGTGGCACGATCATAGCTTACCATAGCCTCGAACTCCTGGGCTCAAGCAGTCCTCCTATTTTAGCCTTCCAAGTAGCTGGGACTGCAGGTGCCACCACGCCCAGCTAATTTTTCAATCTTTTTTTTTTTTTTTTTTTTTTTGGTAGAGATGGAATCTTTCTATGTTGCCCAGGTTGGTCCCAACCTCCTGGCCTCAAGAAATCCTCCTGCCAAAGTACTGGGATTACAGGCGTCAGCCATCTCATCCAGCCCCAAATTCTCAAGCAAATGCACCTTGCCCAGAGGGAAAATTTAGTCCCTCCCTCTCCTCGGGCATCAGGTATTCTGCCATTTTGGGGCACCTGGCTCCCTCACCTCAGATCCTTTTCCAGGTTATTCTTCTTGCCTTCTTGCCTATTTCCTGCCAAACCACGTCCTGTTTTTTTGTTTTTGTTTTTGTTTTGAGACAGAGTCTCGCTCTGTTGCCCAGGCTAGAGTGCAGTGGTGCGATCTCGGCTCACTGCAAGCTCCGCCTCCCAGGTTCACACCATTCTCCTACCTCAGTCTCCCGAGTACCTGGGACTACAGGCACTCGTCACCACGCCCGGCTAATTTTTTTTGTATTTTTAGTAGACACGGGGTTTTACCATATTAGCCAGGATGGTCTCGATCTGCTGACCTTGTGATCTGCCCACCTCGGCCTCCCCAAGTGCTGGGATTACACATGTGAGCCACCGTGCCCAGCTGTTTTTGTTTTATGAAATTTTATTATAATCTCACATCTTCTAGGCATTCTGCTGATTTTATACTGGCAGATTCTGGAGACCCCATTCCATCTTCAGGTAGTCACAGGGGTAACCTCTCACATGGCCATGGCTATAACCTTTACTATTTTGAAAATATTCTAGCATTGGCCGGGCGCGGTGGCTCAAGCCTGTAATCCCAGCACTTTGGGAGGCCGAGACGGGCGGATCACGAGGTCAGGAGATCGAGACCATCCTGGCTAACACGGTGAAACCCCATCTCTACTAAAAAATACGAAAAACTAGCCGGGCGAGGTGGCAGGCGCCTGTAGTCCCAGCTACTCAGGAGGCTGAGGCAGGAGAATGGCGTGAACCCGGGAGGCGGAACTTGCAGTGAGCTGAGATCCGGCCACAGCACTCCAGCCTGGGCGACAGAGCAAGACTCCGTCTCAAAAAAAAAAAAAAAAAGAAAAGAAAATATTCTAGCATTTGTTCCCAGAACAACTCTGTGGGAGTAGATACTATTAGTCCCATATGAGCAATCTAAGGCTTAGCATCAGTGACTTACCCAACACCACTCAGCTAATAAGATGCCGAGCCCCAAATCGAATCCAGACCCGCTGGCTCCCACTCCAGTGCTCTTTCTACTGTTGTGAAACCCAGACCCCTCAACTATCACCCTTATTACTAAGTACTCATTTGTGTTGATGCAGTTGTTCTTGTTATCTGTTCTTGTTATCCTGCACCTTCATGTTCTTGTCAATTGTATTTGTAGCCATGTGTTTACTATGTCTCCTTCCTGTGATTGGGAACCTCCAGAGGTGAGGGATGAACTTTTCCTTTCTCTGTTGGTCCCTCAGAACCCAGGATAGGGGTCTGCCAACCCCTGAGGATAAAGGCAGGCACCATGGATGTGGATCTTTGCCACCTTCAAGTGCGTATAGAGAGTGGATGTGGACAGATATTTGATAATAGTAAGTAACAGCGCTGCCATTTGTTAAGCACTTACTAGATGCTGAGCATTATGCTAGTTCTTTATTTACATTATTTAATCCTCACAACAAACTTCTAAGGGAGGTCTTATTATTGGCAAATGAGAAATCTAATGCTCAGAGACATGGAGTTAGGATGCAACCACATCTGTCTGACTCCAAAAGGATCATAAAAATAGCAGAATTCAATTTAGATTTTAAAAATATGTACCGGGCGTGGTGACTCACGCCTGTAATCCCAGCACTTTGGGAGGCCGAGGCAGGTGGATTAGCTGAGGTCAGGAGTTCAAGAGCAGCCTGGCCACATGGCGAAACCCTGTCTCTACTAAAAATACAAAAATTAGCTGGGCATGGCCGGGCGCAGTGGCTCACACCTGTAATCCCAGCACTTTGGGAGACCAAGGCAGGTGGATCAACTGAGGTCAGGAGTTGGAGACCAGGCTGGCCAACATGGTGAAACCCCGTCTCTACTAAAAATACAAAAATTAGCCGAGCATGGTGGTGGGTGACTGTAATCTCAGCTACTTGGGAGGCTGAGGCAGGAGAATTGCTGGAACCTGGGTGGCGGAGGTTGCAGTGGGCTGAAATCACGCCATTGCACTCCAGCCCTGGTGACAACAGCGAGACTCTGTCTTAAAAAAAAAAAAAAAAAAAAAAAAAAAAAAAATTAGCCAGGGCGTAGTGGCGGAAGCCTGTAATCCCAGCTACTCAGGAGGCTGAGGCATGAGAATCACTTGAACCTGGGAGGCGGAGGATGCAGTGAGCCGAGACTGTGCCATTGCACTCCAGCCTGGGCAACAGAGGGAGATTCTGTCTCAAAAAAAAGAAAAGAAAAGAAAAGAAAAGAAAAAAGAAAAGAAAAGAAAAGAAAAGAAAAGAGAAAGAGATAATCCCTCACTCCCTGAAGGCCCACCCTACTACCCTTTTCTTTTCCCAAAAAATAAAATTCAGGAAGAGGAAAGCAGAACAGGTTGTACCTCATACATAAGCACACACACATTTTCACACACACACACACGCGCCACTTATACCTATCATCACCACCCTGGATTTCCTAGCCCCAGGGTGAGGGCTATGAGGGGTCAGGGGTCAGGTTCCCCTGGACCCTAGTCCTTGTTCCCTTCCCTGGTGCTAAATAAAAGTGAATAAATACTAAATAAATACAACTGGGGCCCAGGCCCACCTTGCCTTCCCCCTCCCTCCTGTGACCCGCAGGGCGGGGGGGGGGGGCAGTTTAGATGGAGGGCTGTCTGTCAGCCCCTTCCATCCACTAACCTGTCACTGCCTCCCAGGGCAGGAAACCAGGGCAGGGCCAGCCTGCACATTAGGGTGAGAGGACGGGCAGGTCTCACGCCCGCAGCCCGGCCCCACTGAGTCTTAGCATGAGGCAGCAACAGAAGCTCTCTCTTTCTCCCAGCTAAGTCCGAGGCCCCGGTGCCCAGAAAGGGCAGCCGGGATAGTGAGGTTATTTCCTGCCCGCCCAGGGGCGCCGCCGAAGGATCTCCAGAATCTGTGCTCTTCGGTGCAGCCAGTCCTGGGGAGTGGGGCGTGGTGTTGAAGGGGTTGGCCGTGGCACAAAGAAGCTGTATCGGAGGCGTGCATCCTGGGGGTTGCCAGCCACTAGGACTTGCAGTGTCAAAGGCTGGGCCAGTGGCCCATGGCCTGACAGTGTCTCTGAGGCCGCAGTGGCCCCGCTGTAGCGCAAGCTGACTGCCCCAGGTAGTATCACATCTGTGGGGGAGGGCATCAGTGTGTATTCACCATTGAGGGCATAGGAGCCATCTGGCAGCTTCAGGGCCAAGTAGATGCTCCGGTGGCCAGGGTTTCCCTGCTGCCGGACAAGAATGTGGGTGGCCCCTGCGGGGATAGTGACCACACTGTTGTATCCGTACCTGTGTGGAAGGAGTAGATGGAGAGCTCAGGATCACCTGAATCCCTTCAGCTTTCTGAGCTGTGTTTTTGTGACTGCATGTGTGTACATGTGTAGATGGTTGTCACCCCTATCCTATATGAGCTGTTCAGTCTGGATCAGAGCTACATGCACATGTGCCCTTTTGCCTCTTATCTCTGGACCTTCACACCCACTGCCCCCTTATTGAGGTGCCCTTCCAAGTCCCACTTCCTTGGTACCTGTCTAATTCCTACCCTCCTTCTGAGACTCAGCTCAGAGGTCACCTCCAAGGAAGCCTTCCCTGATGTCCACAAGGGCACTCACAACACCCTGTTCCGACCTTGGATGAACACATGGGACACTGCACTGTAGCTGCCTACTCATCTATCTCCCGCTAGACTGTGAGCTCTTTGAGAGTAGAAACAGTGCTGAGTTCCCCTCTGCATCCCCAGGACCCAGAATGTCCAGGAAGGTAGAGGGAGGAATGACGGTGAAAGAACCTGAATTTTTTGAAAGAGCCTGACTGCTTGCTGCAGCCAGAACCGTCCCCTCCGCACACCATGCACTTGTCAAACTTCTTCTTGGAGCCAATGATGCGGTCACAGCCAGCATGGATGCAGCGGCCCTGGACACAGACCGAGGAGCTGTCCGGGGAACAGGGGGTCCCATCTACCACCTGAGGAGAAGAGAAAGAACAATGCCGAAGGTTCCTCCTAAGTCAAGAGGGGTTGGTTGGTAAGTCAAACAAGACCCATGTCCCATCAGGGAAGGGATGTCGGAAAAGTTGGATGAAGTAGGGGATGTAGATGGGTGAGTGCCAGGCACCATGTGGGTGATAATCATAACAATAATAATTATTATCACATATAACATCTAGCCAGCATTTTCAGAGCACTGAGTATGAATCACATAGCATGCTAAGTGTTTTACAAACACAAACGTAAATCTCACCACCACTATTTGAGGTTTTTAGGGATGGAATGTTGAGGTTTAGAAAGGTTAAGGAACCTGTCCAAAAGCCACACAAATGGCAAGCAGAGGAGCCAAGATGGGAAGTGCAGGTCTGTCTGGTCCTAGCACCAAGCCCTAAACCTTCATGGCACTGTCCCTAAATGGACGCTAGAGGGCAACCAGCCTGTAGAAATTCTCAGGTTGGGGCGAAGGGAGCAAAATGCTCCCAGGGCTTGTTTTTCTTTGTGCAGCCTTCAACCCACCACCCTATCACAGAGACGGAGTGTAGGGACTTCAGTCATCTCCAGAAGGCCTGTCCATTGAGGGCTGGCTGTCCAGGAGCTGAATGAGGCCAACACTGTAATTTGACAGAGAAGCCCATGGAAGAGGGGTCAAGGACTTGCCCCAAAGGCCACACATTCCATTCTCACCAAATGCAGCACTAGAAGATGGGGAGTCAGAGGAAAAGAAACCACAGGAAATAGGATAGGCTAGAGGGACCTACTGGCCAAGTATCTGGAGTCTGGGGCTTGTTTTCCTGATACCTATGTACAGATAAGTCTGAGTGGAATCCTGGACTGGGCTGGCATGGCTGTGGGAACAGGGTTACTTTGGGGGATCTTTGTCATCAAAAAGCAGAGGGAGCACGGGGCGGGGGTGTGACCATAGACAGGGCCTGGGGGTGTCCTGACCCTCACCCGTGGCTCCAGCACGTAGTAGTAGCCCAGTGCCCGGGCCTGGCAGGTGAGTTTGCACTGGTCTTGGGGGGCCACGCCTGTGTAGCGAGGAACCCAGTCCATGGGCCCTGGGAAGCTCTTGAAGAGGTCGGTGCGGTGGTTGTAGGCAGCACACTGTTCCTCGCGGAAGGTCAGGGCTGGAGGGGTAAAACAGTCAGAGCCCCTCCTTCCTCACATCACCCCACACCCCTCCACCCAGCCCCTGAGAGCTCTAGACAGCACAGCTCTGCTCTTCCCCACAGACGGCCAAGGACAAATCCCAGAGGTTAAAGGCACTCCCCACAACAGCAGGGGAATCAACACCCGCTTTGTCTTGCACTCAAGGGACAGTCCTTCTTGCTCTACTGTCCCCTCCCAAGGGCTCCCATCCCTGCTACTCCTCACCTGAGCCAGTTGGGCAGTCCTCAGTGTTGCAGGAGCGGAAGCGGGTGCGGCGGCCCTCACAGTACTTGCCACCATTCCGGGGGACAGGCCTAGTGCAGTCCCGGGAGGAGAACTGGACACCACCCCCACAGGTCCGAGAGCAGTCACCCCATGGTCCCCAGGGACCCCAGCCACCAGCCTGTGGAGTCTGCAAAGGCACAGAATGGAAGTGGGGCATAAGTGAACTCTCTCCCGGGCTTAGGGCTGGTCCCCACACCCCGGGGCCCTTTACCCCACCCCTGCCCTAGGATCTCACATTGAAGTCCTGGAGCTGGTCCATGTGGAGGCAGCGACCACCCATGCAGGCTTGTGCGGGCCCGCAGGGTGTGCCATCGGCCCAGGGCGAGTGTTTGGTCTGGCACATGGCATGGCCATTGAGGTGGCCAGAGCACCAGAGGGCAGCACAGGGCGGTGGCAGCTGTGGACAATGGCGTGAGTCGGGCCCGAAGGTCAGCTGGCACTGGCGGTCAGCATCATAGTCCTTGCCAGGGAAAGTCACGGGCAGATGCAATGGAGCCTCTGGTTTATCTAAGAGACAGTGCCCTGAGAAGGGGGTTGGGGCACAAAGTCAGCAACGGGCTGAGGGGAGCATTCAGGATTGCCAGCAGAAAGCTTAGGCTCCCTGGGGCCTGATGGAGCCTATAAAAACAATCCTAGGACTATAAGAGAATTAAAAATTTTTTAAATTTATAATTTATATTTTAATTACTTATTTTTTTTTTTTTTTTTTTTTTCAGAGACAGAGTCTTGCTCTGTCACTCAGGCTGCAGTACAGTGGCATGATCATGGCTCACTACAGCCTCAAAATTCTGGGCTCAAGCAAACTTCCTGCCTTGGGCTCCTAAGTAGGTGGGATTACAGGCATGTGCCATGTCTAGCTAATTTTTTGGAATTTTTTGTTGCCATAAGGTCTTGCTATGTTGTCTAGGCTAATCTCAAACTCCTGGTCTCAAGCAATCCTCCCACCTCAGCCTCCCAAAGCATTGGGATTACAGGTGTAAGCCACTGTGCCTAGCCCTGTAAGAGGCTTTAATGGGCAACTGTAATTTATTGGATGCTTATTATGTGATGAACATTGGCTAAATGCTTGACCAGCATGTATTTAACCATGGCAAATACCTATGAGATAGGTACCACTATTATACTTATCTGACATATCAACTACAAACACAGAGAGGTGAAGTAACTTACAGTCACACATCTACACCTGCTTAAAGAACAGAATAAGAGGCCAGGCATGGTTGCTCAATGCCTGTCATCGCAGCACTTTGGAAGGCTGAGGTGGGAGGATTGCTTGAGCCTAAGAGTTCGAGACCAGCCCAGGCAACACAGTGAGACCTCATCTCTATTTTAAAAACAAACAAACAAACAAAATGGAATAATGATAGGAACTCAGTTCTGCCTATTCTAACCAACTATAGAATACTTGAGTTTGCTTCTCATCAACATCTCTGCCTAGTGGCAGTCATCCTGTTATTCTTGCATACCTCACTGCGTGACAAGGTAATCACATCCTTCACAGCCAGCCCATTCCAGTGGTGGACAGTTCTGGCCCTCAGAAGGTCCGTTCTAATTCTACTGAGCCAAAATTCACCTCCTCTAGCTATGCTATTTATTCTGGGAGGAAGTGAGAACTACACAAAGACAGCAGCATTTCTCACCCCTTCCCACACTGCAGAGGAAGCACACTTGGGGGAGGCAATTTGGCCCATGCAGAATGCAGCAGAAGTGAGAGTGCCCTGGAGGACAGGAATTGAGTCCTACCCAGGGAAAGGTAAGTGCCATCTGCTTACCATAGCCATTGTCCAGGAAGTCAGTGATGAAGCGGGCACTGCAGGGGGACCAGGGCTCCTCAGGATCCACATGAGCCATCACAGGGGCCATGACATGGCGAGAGGTGCTCAAAGGCCCATTCAAACTGATGCATGGCTTGGAATTGTCATGGAGCATGTTGAAGACATGACCTGTGGGAGCAGAGGCCCTGATAGGATCTGAGGGTCCCTTCCTCATGCCCTGAGGGACTCCATCATAAATCTGGCTGCAGCTGTGGATCATCAGATCCATTCCCCACTCACCCTGCCCCCAGTCCCTTTCTTTCTGGTACTCTCAGGGCTCCCAGTATGTAGCCCCATCTCTTTCTCTGTCTCCTCTTCCCCAAAATATACTCCGGGCCCCTCCCTATCCATTTTTCCTTATAGCCAACATTCCCAACTGTGACCCCACCCATTCCCTCTCTGACTTCCCCTCCAAATACACACACACACACACACACACACACACACACACACAGAAAGAGAGAGAGAGAGAGAGAGATCACAGTAGTTTCTACCAACTAATTTAATAGAAAAATGTAAATGTATGTCTACACCTGGAGCAGAGAGGAGTAATAGCCCTATACCTAGGCCTAGGGGAAGAATACCTTGGGGCCCCCATTAACACTGTGGTGAACTTAGTACCCCCTCCCCCACCTTCTCCTCCCTAATACCTTTCTCATCCACCCCCAATTTACCCAGTTCATGAGCTGCAGTGAAGGCCGACTGGAGCCCATCATCCTCCACGATAGCACAGCTCCGAGCCGGGTCACACACGGTGCCCACATCAGCCATACCCAGTGTGTCGCAAGTGGAGACTCCACACAGGTCCTGTGGAGAGGGATCATAGAAGGTGCATAGACAGCCAAGACACCTGGGTCCATTGGGTTGAGATCTAGATTCCTAGGGACCTGGGCACTGAGGACCCAGCACTGTCAGGGCCTAGGTAGCCACACATGGCAGTGTGGCTGGGGCAAGGCACCATGTCACACAACTCCAGGAATATCATTTGCATCATAGTCTATGTAGTGGTGCTTCTTAGAATTGTGCAGTGCATGGCCTGCGGTGCTGACTGGGGCCTCACCTGACGGGTAAACAGAATGGCTGTGTCAAAGTGGTCAGGGTCCGAGTCCTCAGGGGTGTTGAGGCCCCGCTGCCAGGCACAGAAGCTGCGCAGGGTCTGGGCAGCACTGGGCCCCACTTGGGGCCCCTCCTCGCCTGACCCCAGGATCACTAGCCGAGTCACCACCAAGCTGACAGGATTGCGGATGCTTGGGTGCTTGAAGGCCTTGGCCGCTGCTGCCATCACTGTTAGCAGGTAGCGCTTTAGCCCCGCACCGTGGAATGCGGCCATCTTGTCATCTGCTACCACCAGCATCTCCACGAATCTACTCAGTGAAGCAAAGCGCTGGAGAGAAAAAGGGAGAGGAAGAACCTGAAATAGCCTCTCAGACCCATGGGTTGGTCAATTCTGCAATCCCTCACTTGCTGGGTCTTGAACTCAGCATAGTCAGCTGCCCGCCCCCCACATCCCCCCACCCCCCCGCCCCGGGATTCCTGACTCCTGGCGGGTCTTGGTTGGGCCCTTCCCCCAACACCAAATCCCAGGGCTTTTGTGGTAACTCTGAGGAGTCAGCAGCTGGTTCTAAGAAGGGGAGGAGAAGGGGACGCCACATCCCAGGGCTGCGGGAGCCCCAGAGGTGAGAGCCGCCTGGACTGCCGTCAAGAGGCACTTTGGGGTTCTCCAGGCCTGAGTGTGGCTGGGACCTATGGGACCAGGGCTAGAGGGCTGGGCTGCAACGTGTCTGCCCTGTGTGGTTGGAGGAACGATTCAGTCAGCAGCTAGGGCCAGGGCCAGAGCTCAGCGTGGCGGGTGTGGAGGGAGCGTCTGGTCTGGATTAAAGCTAGAGAGGGAGGAGGGAGGAGGGAAGGGAAGAAGCGGGAGACCAGGAGTGGGAGGGAGGAAAGGATGGAGCTTCAGGCAGCCTCGCAGTCCGGCCACAGTGTGGGAAGGGGATTGACCAGAAGGAGGTATGGGATACCCTCCCTCTCTCGCCACTCCTGCCCTAGTTTGCAGTTTGCCACAGTGATTTTAAAGGCAGCATCAGAAGCCAGACACCAAGCCCTAGGGCCTCAAATCTCACTCCTTTAGCTGGGGGTGAGGGATGAAAATCAAATTTGGGGCAGAGAAAAGAGCCAAGGCCAAGGGGCTGTTAGGAGACCTTTACTGCTGGGGACTGTGCCAGTAGGAGATGCCATGGCCAGGAAGGGGTGGGGTGGGTAGGGGGAGCAGTTATTCCCAGCCCAGAGTCTCTGACCCACCTCTGAGAACCCTCGGTGGGTCTGGCTAGGAGAAGGGTGAAGGGGAGAGGCCTGAGCCTTACCAAGAAAGGAGGCTCATGGAAAGAGGAAAGGCAGGCAGAAGGGAGGGAAGCAGAATGGCCAGAAGTGGAAGTGGGTGGAGAGAGGGTGAATAGGGGTCAGTAGGACAGACATGGCGGGAGGACACCGCAGGACACAGACGCCAGGGCTGCCTACCTTGGCTCTTCGGGGTCTGGGGCTGGGGCTTCCAGGAGGAGCCTTGACGTTGCACATGGGACCTTGGCCGCTGGCAGGACTCTTCCGGCGTAGGATGTGAGCCCCAGGTCCCCCGGCGGAGTTAGGGGTGCCTCCCTCCAGGGGCTGGAGGTGGAGTTCAGCCCCCCGATACTGTAACACCCCTAACAGGGCTCCCCCATCCCAGTGCAGAGATGCCACCGACTCCGGATCTCCATTGATGGTGCCAGTCAGGTAGGTGCCAGGCTCTGCTCCACCCAGCAGCTCAGGCGCCTGGCCCAGGTACTGCACTGTCAGCCCCTCGACCTGCACGCCGGAGTCCTGCTCCAGCTCTAGTAGCAGCGTCTCCCCAAAGGCCTGCAAGCGGCACAACAGCCTGGCAGGGGCGCCCGAGCCAGGCAGGACGCTGCCGTTGAGCTTCTCTGGAAACACGATCTCCTCCTCCCGGGGGAGGGGGCTGGCCAGCCAGGCCGAGGGCAGGAGAGAGGCCAGCAGTAGCAGAAGCAGCCACACCAGCCAGGAGAGCGGCACAATGGGGAGCAGGAGGCAGGGTTGGACTCCCCACAGCCAGCGCCCCGCCAAGCCCCTCCCGGGACGCGCGCCTGTCTGGGACATGGCACTGGTACTGGAGCTGGGAAGGACTGAGGCCGTCTGGGGCACCAAGTCCTCCACACCCTAGCTTTGGAAAGCTCCTCTCTGTTAGCCTGGGGGCTTGGACTCCTGCCAAGGTCAGAGGCAGTTTTCAGAAGGGCTGGGGACCTTTAAAGGAAATGGAGAAAACTTAGTCCTTGGGCTTGGGAGAGGCGCCCAGGGGTCTGGCTTCTCCAAACTCTCCTCCTGAGCCCTCCTTTCCTGAATCTTTGTCTTTCCCTGCCTGTGTCTTCTGCAGCTTCTCTGGCCTCTCCCTCTGTAGGAGGACTCTGTCTGGGCCGCTTCTGTGCCTGCCCTGTCTCTGCCTTCTTCCGCTGTGCCTTTGTCTCTCTTTCCTCCTCTGTCTCTCTCGTGCCTATGTGTCTGTGGGTCTCCCTGTGGGTTCTCCCCAGCCTCTCTCCGCGCCAGCTCTTTTAAGCATGGTGAGCCTCTGCGATTGATTGGCTGATCTCTAAGCCACTCAGCTGAGCTCTGTCGGTGGAACTCAGATGGGTGTATCATCGCTTCCCAAAAAAATGGGACTTGCCCAGGGGAGGGGAATCTCTAGCAGTCGAATGGATAATAGGCACTGGGCCAGCTGATGACATAGCCTTTTCCCAAACTCCACAATCAGCCCTCAGCTGTCTCTTTCCCTTTTTGGTGGGACAGAGCCCCAGGAGAGGCAGAGAGTGAGGGAAAGGGCCTGGCCAGCATGCACAGATAGGATCACGGTCCTGGGAGAATTTCTGCTCTTACAGTCTAACCTAGCATGGCCTCTCTTTTCTCAAGGCTCCCTCATGCTGCCCTTTGGCCCTAGTGGCTGGTTTCCAGGGCTGCGGGGACTGAGTGAACTGCCTGAGAAAAGAGGGTAGGGAACAGGTAAGGAGACATCAAGAGGGAAGAACAAAGAAAGGAGGTAACTTGACATGGCTCAGGATAGAACTGAGCAACTGGGAAGAGTAAAAGAGGCAGAGCAATGGGGGAGGCAAGGAGACAGTGATCAGGGAGTTGACTGCCCAAAGGTAGGATGATCCTGCTTGGAATGAACGTACTGGAGGCGGCAGATGACAAGGCAGGAGGGGTTAACGACTTTTCCTTTTATAGGCTGATCCAGGGTGGCACCTCCTCTTTTCTAACGTCCCTTCTCTCCCTCAGGATCCCCCTTCCTGAGTTACCACTACCCACCCCCTCCAAAGCCCAGAACATCCATTCCGCCTCCGTTTCCCCCCAGGGTTCCCCCTCCCCACTTCCTGACTCCCCATTTCCCTGGCCCAGCTCCCAGTAGCTTCCCCCAGGCTTTTGGCCCTTCTCCTACCCACTCCCAACTGCCCTAAACCCTCCCCCAGCCTCAAGTCAGCCAGCCCCCAGCATAGGCAAGACTTGCTCTCAGGAACCCAGATTCATCCAGTATCAGTCTGGGGGAATCCCCACCTGGCTCCCACCACCCACCCCACCTTGCTCTGAGAACCCAGTGGTTCCTGGAATATCTAGTAATCTTTTCTTTTTAATTCTCCCTGTGGCAGGGAGGGGGTGGAGGCAGCATTGTGCTTATAGGGAAATTAGGGTACTGGGAGAAATCCATTGCCTGGGGTGGGAGAGTGGCTGGGGAGGAAGAGGTGGTGTTAGGGAAGGAAGCAAATTATTCCTTTGACTTTGGATAGGAGGGAACTCGCAAAAGAGGTCTTGGGTGTGAACTCTCAGGGCAAGGAAGGGTTCAGAAGTAGGGGCAATTTCTGCTCACCCCATCCTCTCGCTGCTTGTTTCCCCAGGAAATCCCCAGGAAGGAGAGTGCAGTCAGCAGTCCCTTTCCTTTCCCAGAAGTGGACCACCTCCTACTGCCTCTATTCCCCTATTAACTCTGCTTTGTCACCTCCTGTCCTCCGCATATCATATCCGTCAGAATACTTCCTTTCCCCCTCCCTTTCTGCTCAGGTCGGTAATACCTGCCCTGGTGCCTGTCACTTCCTGGATCACCCACCCCCTTGTGACTGCCAGACCCACCTCTTGACCCACCACTTGCCTGACCCTGGTTCTAAGCCAAGGGGGCTGGGACTAGAGGAGTCAGACAAGGGATGGGAGACCAGAAGGGGCAGGGGCAAGAGGAGCTATCACCAGAGAACTCTACTGCCCCTTTCCACTCCCCTATTTGAGATGAGGACAAAGGGGGTGACTAAGCAGTGAAAGACAAAGGGCTTTAGAGTGGCTGCAGCAGTGTGTGTGGGGGTGTTGGCAGCCAGGAGAAGGCACAAAAGCTGCAGTGTCCTAGGCAGCCCCTCAGGAGCCCCCATGCCAGTCCCAGCTCAAGCTGCCCCCAGGGCCAAGCAACCCAGAGTCTATCCTGACTTCTCCCAGGCTGGATCAAGGCAAATAAATGCAATCCTTCCCATCCCCCACCACCATGGCCACATTTGCTGTGTTTCAACAATAGACAGAAAGAAGACCCAGGGAAAGAGCAAGGAATGGGGAGAGCAGAGGGACCAAACCTCTGCCCTGGCTCTGTGGCAGCTCCCTTGTCTAGCCCAGGTCCTGGTCAGTTCCCACAGCCAAGGATCTGGCCCCACCCTTTGGTACAGTTCCCATTAGGTCAATTCCCAGGCCAGAAGTCTGGCTTTCCCCTCTTTCTCTGCAGTGAAGAATTCCTCCGTCTCTGCTTCCTGGTCTGTCTGCCTCACCCTGCTGCGCTGCTGGTGGGCTGTGTCCCAGGGATCCTGTCTAGGGGATATCTGGGGAAGGCGTCTTTCCAGGCTCAGAGTTGGAGAGTTGTACAGACTCTACGGGTGGGTGGCCCAGCTGGAGTTGGGCTTAGAGGCAGAGGGAGAAAACAGGAACTAGTCTCTAAGGCTGGAAAAGTCTTTGTCCACACAGCATTGGGATCACACTCCTGGTGCTACTACATTTCCATGCTGTTGGCCATTACCCAGGAGGGCTACAGCAGGGTCAGAAAGACGTTAGGGAAAAGTGGCTGACGCAGGACGGAAGTGGGGTGTGAGGCATCTCTAAGGGCGCTTCCTGGGTCTATGATTCTGTAGGTTCGGGAAGCCTGGCGGATGTCAGGGTCACCCAGAGGACTCCATTCCCCCATGTGGGATGAGGTGGCTCCTACACACCCCGATACTCCCCTCCGCACCACCAATGCTGGTGGCCTTGGCAATCCTATTCTTTTTTGTTTTGGTTTGGCGGGAGCTCTCAGACCCGCCCAGCCCCACTTAGGCTCCTTTCTCCAATCTCAATTTAGGACATCTGGAAATTAGCTGGCTTTCCCGACTCCGATCTTTTGGATTCAGTGATGGGAAGGTAATTGGCAAAGCCTGAGGCTACCCTATAAGGGCAGGGCTCAGATACAATCCGAGAGCAGGACTAAAGCGGGAGGGCGGCCAAGGCGGAAGGGAGTAGGAAAAGAAGGGCCGCACGTTTCCGAGATACGCAAGCGGGCTCGGCGAGAGAGCACGAAGTATTTGCCCCTCGCAGGAACGGCAATTTTCCCTTGCTCGCTCCTAGAAAAGCCAGCCAGGAGCTGTGGGAGGAACCGCCCTCAGTAAAGATGATGGCTATCACCGTTATCCAAACGCAAGTGAAGCCGAGTCACAGGACCCGGATGTTGTCAGGTCGACGGTAAACGACCCTGCCAGCTTCCAAAAGGGCGGCTTCACTGTGCGAATAGGTGAGAAGCCAACAAGGAGGCGCGCTGGAGTCACTTCCGCCCGGTTCACCTTCCCGCAGTCTGCAGCCGGAGTAAGATGGCGGCGCTGAGGGCTCTGTGCGGCCTCCGGGGCGTCGCGGCCCAGGTCCTGCGGCCTGGGGCTGGAGTCCGACTGCCGATTCAGCCCAGCAGGTGAGATCGAGGGCAGCCCTCGACACACGTTCTCCAAGGCTAGGGTTTCTCAGGTTGGGGACGCTTTACTCCCCCAGAAAAGAATAACCCAAGACTGTGACCCCATTGTCCATCCCTGATTTCTTGGGCTACAAGATGCGGTGGCGCCCACTCTGGCGAGGGAGGGGAGAGGGTCTAGAGTTCGTTCAGTCCAGAGGTGAAATCAGCGGAGTGGGAGACTCTGCTTTTTAGCTTCCGTAATTTGAATGCACCTCTCCTGTACCTGAGTAAAACTCAGCCAAAGAGCCAGAATGCTCGCTGTCTCTGTCGTTGACCTTGAATAAACACTTTTCTCACGTTCATGTTCACCTGGTTGATAATATCAATACGATGAAAATATAAAGAAGCTAGGATTCCAACCTTGCATGCCCAGGGGTGATGGGTGAAGTTATTCCAGGAATAATTTTTTAGTAGGAATTGAACCTTTAGAGTTCCAGCTTATTTTGCCGAAGCTACATTAACTTCAGATCAGTGACTTGGCATTAAAAAAATCCAGGACACTGGCCGGGCGCGGTGGCTCACGCCAGTAATCCCAGCACTTTGGGAGGCCTAAGCTGGCAGATTATCTGAGGTCGGGAGTTCGAGACCATCCTGACCAACATGGAGAAACCCCATCTCTACTAAAAATACAAAATTAGCCGGGCTTGGTGGCACATGCCTGTAATCTCAGCTACTTGGGAGACTGAGGCAGGAGAATCGCTTGAACTTGGGCGGAGGTTTCAGTGAGCCGAAATCGCGCCATTGCACTCCAGTCTGGGCAACAAGAGTGAAACTCCGTCTCAAAAAAAAAAAAAAAACAAAAAAACAGGACATCCTTCCTGGGGTCCCCTTGAGAGTAAATGGGAACACGGGAACCACACACTGTTCAGGCCCTTTGTCTAGGATTTGTCTTTAACTCCCCAGAGGTGCTCGGCAGTGGCAGCCAGATGTGGAATGGGCACAGCAGTTTGGGGGAGCTGTTATGTACCCAAGCAAAGAAACAGCCCACTGGAAGCCTCCACCTTGGAATGGTGAGTGATCAGAGTTGCCGTCCCAACCCACACCCATCCCTGCCCCCAGCTGATTTCCTTTTCTTTTTGTGAGACAGGGTCTCCCTCTGCCTCCCTGGCTGGAGTACAGTGGTGGGAAAGTGGCTCACTGTAGTCTTGAACTTCTGGACTCAAGGCAACCTTCTGTCTCAGCCTCCCCAGAAAGCCGCAGCAACAGGCCTGTGCCACCACAACTGGCTAATTTTGAAAGTTTTCCTTTTGTAGAGACAGGGTCTTGCTGTGTTGACCAGGCTGGTTTCAAACTCCTGGCCTCAGGTAATCCTCCCAACTCAGCCTCCCAAAGTGCTGAGATACAGGCTTGAGCCACCATGCCTGGCCTCCAGCTGATTTCTAAGTGCTCTTGAACTCTCTGTCTTAGGCAAGTTTTAGCCCCTATCCTGTTTGTTTCTTTCACGATGAAATTCAAGAGACATAATAGTGATAACAACAGGTATTTGTGAAGTAGAGAAGGAAAGGAAGGATGTTGCAGAAGAAAATAAAGAATGGGTCCCAGTAAATACCCAAAAGTCCTTATCAATGTAAATCTTTTTTTTTTTTTTTTTTTTTTTTTTTTTTTTTTTTTTTTTTTTTTTGAGACGGAGTCTCGCTCTGTCGCCCGGTCTGGAGTGCAGTGGCCGGATCTCAGCTCACTGCAAGCTCCGCCTCCCGGGTTTACGCCATTCTCCTGCCTCAGCCTCCCGAGTAGCTGGGACTACAGGCGACCACCACCACGCCCGGCTAGTTTTTTGTGTTTTTAGTAGAGACGGGGTTTCACCGTGTTAGCCAGGATGGTCTCGATCTCCTGACCTCGTGATCCGCCCGTCTCGGCCTCCCAAAGTGCTGGGATTACAGGCTTGAGCCACCGCGCCCGGCCTATCAATGTAAATCTTAATGCCAGCTTTTCCCATGTTCAATACATGTAAGGTTCACTACATTATCTCCCTCTCCAGACACGGTGGTGGTCTTCCTGTTGGTACCCAAATGAAACCTATGTGAATACAAACCATTTTTTTCCTATCAAAACTAGCTCTTCCTTTTGACTTTTGATTTTGACCATTGGGACCCTCATTCCCCTAATCCCTCAGGATTGAAACTTTTTAGTCATCTTTGGCTGTTTTGTCTTGCCCTCCATGTCTATGTCCAGTAAGTTACCAAACCATGTAGATTCTTTCATAATGTCTCATATCTGTTCATCTCTCCTTCTTAATTTTCGTTGCCATCATTCTTATTCAGAGTTATCTTGTATTAGACCCTGATTATTTTAGGAGTCTATTTACTGAGTTTTTGCCACTGATGTTGTCCCCTTTTTATATATCCGATACAATGTCATCACCTTCATCTTCCCCAAACATTATTTTACCATGTTATTCATACTCTTGCTCAAAAACCTTCAGACACTTGCAGTTACTTTCTACAAACTTACAGTAACAATAGCTGAGTGCTTACCATTTACCAAACATTTTCGTATGCATTATTTTGTTTAATCTTTACAACAGCTCTATGAAACTATTACCCCAGTTGTGAGGAAAGTATGGTCTAGGGAGATTAAAACTTGATTAAATGCTGGGCGCGGTAGCTCACACCTGTGATCTTAGCACTTTGGGAGGCTGAGGTGGGCAGATCACCTGAGGTCAGGAGTTCAAGACCAGCCTGGCCAGCATGGTGAAACCACGCCTCTACTAAAAATACAGAAATTAGCTGGGCGTGGTGGCATGCACCTGTAATCCTAGCTACTCAGGAGACTGAGGCAGAAGAATCACTTGAACCTGGGAGGTGGAGGTTGCAGTGAGCCGAGATCGTGCTATTGCACTCCAGCCTGGGTGACAGAGCAAGACTGTCTCCAAAAAAAAAAAAAAAAAGTTAAGGGCACACAGGCAGATTTGTACTCTTTGGGTCTGTCAGACTCCAAAGCCCATGATGAAGAATTTTGGTGGATAAGGTGGGCTCTGGTTTCAAATCTCAACTCTCAATTTACCAGTGAATAAAGCACCTATTTATAGCATTATTTTAAGGATTAAATGAGATAACATGTGCCTGGCACATGTAAGTCCCCTATAAGTGTTCATTGTTATTAATGATATGTACAGATAATTGAATCACTGCCCCCTAATTTGTCCCAATACTTATCATCCCTCTCTTGGAAAGTCCCAATAAGGGTTGCACGGATGTTTACTTCCTTATTTCTAAGATTTGGCCCATGTTGATTTCATAGCCTGGAATGCCTCTTCTCCCTTCTAGCTATCTAAATCATTTCCTGTATTTAAGCTCAGATCCTACCTACATGAAATCTTCCCAGTGTTCTTTCCTTTTTTAAAAAACTTAATGGCTAAGGCACTTTCTTGGTTACTTATAAATTTGACCTCTGTTCGTAGTTTTTCACATGTACTTCTTTCCCAAATTAAAATGTAAGCTTCAGATTAGGTGGGCGTGGTGGCGTGCACCTGTGGCCCCAGCTACTCTGGAGGCTGAAGCAGAAAAATTGCTTGAATCTGGCAGGCGGAGTTTGCAGTAAGCCGAGATGGTGCCACTGCACTCCAGTCTGGGCGCAGTGTGAGACTGTCTCAAAAAAAAAAAAAAGTAAGCTTCTTGAGGGTAAAAGTTTGTTTAGTGGGAGTAAGCATTAGGCATACATTTCCTGACTGGTTGGCCATTCATTGGATACATTTGGAGGGCAGTATATCATAGTAGTTAAGATATTTGGATCCTGGAGCTAAACAGGTTGGGTTAAAATCCTGGTTCTGCCACTTACTAGTTTTGTGATCCTGGAAAAGTCATTTAAGCTCCATGGCCTCAGTTTATCCAATAAAATGGAGATAATGATAGTACTTATTACTTATAACAGTTGTTGTAGGAATTAAATCAATTAAAGTGTCTAAGGTAGTGCCTGGCACATAATAAAGCTATATAAGTGTTATCTATTATTAAAAAGATATTCTATGCACACCAACTATGAACCATGAAAAAAAGGTATTCTAGGACACACAGAGTGAGTGAGATTCATGATGTCTGTCATCAGAAAGTTTAGATCTTCCTTTTTCCCATCTAACGGTCCTCTTCTGGTTATAGTGGAGATTAGGAAATTAACAAAGTATGCAATGGTGAGTTAGAAGATCTATAGGAAGAGGCTAACTCCCTGCTGTCTTTTGGGGGATCCCAAGGGAATAACCATTTGGCTCTGAACTATTTCCTATTTCTCAGATGTGGACCCTCCAAAAGACACAATGGTGAAGAACATGACCCTGAACTTTGGGCCCCAACACCCAGCAGCGCATGGTGTCCTGCGACTAGTGATGGAATTGAGTGGGGAGATGGTGCGGAAGTGTGATCCTCACATTGGGCTCCTGCACCGAGGCACTGAGAAGCTCATTGAATACAAGACCTATCTTCAGGTGTGGGGGGCGAACAGGGGCCTTTTGGTGGGATCTGGGGCTGCTTTAGCCTGGGGCT